GTATATCTGATTTTTGACTTTTGCTTCGTTCTGACTTCCCTGATTTCTGGTACTCTAGACGTTTGGCTTTCCCTTATCGCTGTTCCTTGTTCTGTGTCCCTGAACTCGTCAAGTATTTTGACTATTCTCTGGTACATTAAGCCCGGCCATTTTCAGGTCCAGTTGGACGTTATCCTTAGTTCTAGGTGTGATAGAATTCTGCATGCTGGATCAACAGTAATCCTGACATTACAACATGGCCATAGATCCTGCAGAATTGTGGCAGCACATAGCAGCCTGCAAGAGAAAGCTAGAGGAAAATGATCACTGTATGGATCAATTTGTCCAGGCTTTTAATACGCATCTAATATGGACTTACAGCCTGATGCCCCTCCGGCAGTTACACCCCCCCTACTGTACCTACACCTATAGCATATAAGGCACCTACTATCTCCCTATCTGCACCCCCGCATTTTGAAGGTAATACTCAAGAATGTCGGGGATTCGTACCATTTTGAAGCCTCACCTGTGCCCTTTCCCACGGATAGAGCTAAAATTGGGTACTTAATGAACCAACTTAAAGGTAAAGCCTTTGCTTGGGCCAATCCATTATGAGAGAGTGATATTTCAAATTAACGTTTGAACCATTAGGAAGGGAAAATAACTGCTCTGTCTCAGATTATGCCATAGAATTCCACACCCTGGTTTCTGAGATAGACTGGACTAATATCAGATTAATCACTGCATTTGCAGAAGGATTATCCGAAGCTGTCCTTGATGAAATTGCAGCCAAAGAACTAGCAAAGAGGTTAACTGAACCTGAAGCAGTTAGGGGTTACGAGACTGTCAGAGGCAGAGAAACAGTTTAAGAGAAAAGAGGGCCTTTGCTTATACTGTGGCAAGAAAGGACATATGAGAGATGCTTGTCCCATACGTCGGAAAACTATAGCACCTAAGAACCATAAGGAGACAAGTCTTAGGTGTGATGGATATTTCTCCTGGTACTACCCAAAGTAGATTTCTCCTTGATATTACTGCTCTATGTAACAAGAAAAGTTTTTCATGCAAAGCCCTGATGGTGCTTCAGGAAACTTTATCAACATGCAATTTGTCAGTAAACACTTCCTACCCATTGTGATAAGGTGAATGGGGTGGTCTGTGAGGGAGTCTATATCTCGACAGAATTGTTCAGAGAGGCATATGATTTTTAACCCCAGGGGGAGTGTATGTTTCTGTGTATGTAACCAGAATGAATATTTAGTTATGGGCCCCTGGGGTGGAGCATTTGGAGAGCAGGGTGGGCCAGTGCTCCACTCCGCAGTTTAGCGGTTTTCTTGGAAGACATAGATCCAGCCCAGGGTTTTGGACTGTCTCCAACCTACTGCTCAGCTGCAGGTAATCGGCTGCAGCAGTGGTAATAAATCCCTCCCTGCTAGGCAGGTAGGGAGAGAATGTTTTGTTTCTCTCTGAAAGGCTGGAAGCAGCAGGCTGGCTAAACACTGGAGTGCTGAGAGTGGACAAAGACTCTAGGTTGGTGAAACCAATATTGTTTTGTTTAGTTTAACCCTGAGAGACAGGGAACCTAATGTCAGTTAGTGCTCAGACGAGCTAGGTTTTTGTTTATAAGGTTTTGTGTTACATTTATGTTTTCATTTACTGCTGTATCCTGTGTGGATTTACAAATAAAGTGCCTGGAGTATATGCAATTACAAGGACTGTGCCTATTGTTTACCCTAGAGGACCGTGCTACCTGCAAACAAGGATCACACCATCAAGGAGAGATCATCACCCCTGGCCATCGAGGCCATTGATGGGAGACCTCTCTCTCAACCTCTAATGACCCACGAAACTATGATGTAACAGATCACCTGAACTCTGACTGGGCACCTCGGTTGACGGATGCTTCCTAGCTGACGCCGAGGACTATAATCACCGCACCAGACACCACAACCACCGCAGACTCCACAACTCCACAACCACTGTAGCTTAACTGGAATCTTGCCGTCTTCCTTCCACCCTGAATCAACCTCTGACATCCAGGACCTCAGCCTCCTCCAGGAGAGCGTAACAGGAACAGCTCTTAAAAGAGCTAAGTGATTGGAACCCAGGAGAGTATACAAAGTATAGCAATCCCCAGAGTGATTATAGCAGTTCCCCTGCAATCACAAGACAAGATTTTGTGTTGAGGGTCAAACAGGAACAGAAGGTTTAATGGCACACACTGGTCTTTTATACAAGTTTTAGGTCAAAGGTGACGCCCAGGTGGACCTAGTTGGGCACCAAATACAAAACATCAGAGACGGCTCTCTAATTAGGTGGCTTAGGCGGCCGCCTAAGGCCTCGCGCTGGCTGGGGCCTCGCGACCGCCTGTGGGCAGACTGTGTCAGGTCCTCGGTCAGTGACCGAGGACCTGACACCAGGAGGGGGCCCGGCGGCTCGCCCAGTATGCGAGGCCCCTCCTGGCTGCCCGGCCAGCCACCGCAGACACCGGTCTGCAGCTCCGCAGTGAGCAGAGCTGCAGACCATGTGTCTTGCGAGAATTGGCCAATCAGTGCGTTGGCACGGGTTACCACGGCAACACTCTGATGGTCTCGCGAGATTACATCGTCTGCAGCTCTGCGGAGCTGCAGACGGGAAGCAATGGCCACCGGACCAACAGGGAGCCCACTGGACCACCAGGGAGTAAAGGTAGATTCTCTCTCACCCGCCTCACCACCTCAGCCTCACCACCCCACACCACCACCCTCAGCCTCACCACCCCACACCACCACCCTCAGCCTCACCCCCACCACCCTCAGCCTCACCCCCCCACACACTTCGCCTCACCCCCCACCACCCCGCCTCACCCCCACCACCCTCAGCCTCACCACCCCCACCACCCTCAGCATCACCCCCCACCAACCTTTAGCCTCACCACCCCCCACCAACCTTTAGCCTCACCCACACCACTTTTAGCATCATCCCCCACCACCCTCAGCCTCACTACCCCACACCACCTTCAGCCTCCCCACCCCACCACCCTCAGCCTCACCCCCACCACCACTACCCTCAGCCTCAGCTCAGCTTCACTCCCACCACCCTCAGCCTCTCCTCCCCCACCACCCTCAGCCTCTCCTCCCCATCACCCTCCCCACCATCCTCAGCATCACCCCCACCCTCAGCATCACCCCCTCACATCAACCCCTCCCTCTCACCTCCCCTCCCTCTCACATTACCCCCTCTCACTCTCACATTACCACCACCATCACCCCCTCTCCCTCTCACCATCACCCCCTCACACCACCCTCAGGCTCACCACCCCACACCACCCTCACTACCCCACACCACCCTCAGCCTCACTACCCCACACCACCCTCAGCCTCACTACCCCACACCACCCTCAGCCTCACCACCCTCACATGAACAGAGCCTGTTTGAAGTATTTTAGCCAGGTTTATCACAGGGGCCATAGTCACAGGGCAAGAGGCTGGCCATTAGTCCTCTGCAAAAACCAGTGGTGAAGTTGCTTTCGTCACATATGCCTACTACTATTACTACAGGTGTTACATAAAGAAATCAGGACATTTCAGATAATTGCTTCCCCTTCTTGTCCCATTATATTAGGATTCCCATGGCTTGTTAAGCACAATCCTCATATTGACTAGGCTAAGGAGGAAATACAGGAATGGAGTAAAGACTGTAGTGAGAGATGCATGTTACCCATTACTAAAAGAGTGGGCATCATTACTTTACCTACTTGTACACCTCAGACTTCTGAAATTCCTGCGCAGTACTGGGAGGTTAGAGAAGCATTTAGTAAAAGTCACACTGATATGCTACCTCCTCACAGATCTTATGATTGCTCCATAGATCTGTTACCTGGCACTATGCCCCCTAAGGGAGCAGTGTATGCCTTATCTCCACAGGACAGTAGGATTATGGAGGATTACATCAAAAAGTCTTTACTAAATGGTCACATACGTAAGCCTTCTTCACCTGCTGGTGCAGGGTTCTTTTTTGTGTCTAGAAAAGATGGAGAGTTACGCCCATGTCTCGATTATAGAGCAATGAACAAGATCACCATGAAACATGTTTATCCCATTCCCCTTATCTCAGAACTGTTTGACAGACTCCAAGGTGCTAAGATATTTACCAAACTCAACCTTAGGAATGCTTACAATTCTGAATGGAGAACTGCATTTAATACGAGAAGTGGTCACTATGAGTATCTTGTCATGCCCGTCGGCCTATGCAATGCTCCAGCCGTATTTCAGGATTTCATTAATGATGTTCTCAGAGACTACATTTATACTTTTGTATTAGTTTATCTGGATGATATTTTCATTTACTCTCCCGATCTCCAGACCCATCATAAGCATGTGAAGCTGGTATTGCAAACTTTGCTTAAAAATTTGCTTTATGGCAAACTTGAAAAATGCATATTTGACCAGAGAGAGGTACAGCTTTTGGGATATAATATTTCGGCCTCTGGTATTCAGATGGACCCTTGCAAACTAGAAGCTGTTCTACACTGGCCATTGCCTAATGGGTTAAAAGCCATTAAAAGGTTCATTGGGTTTGCTTATTACTATAAGAGATTCATCAAAGGTTTCTCTACTGTTATATCACCCATCACCAATGACACAAAAGGCAGTTGACTGTAAGATATGGTCTAAAGCAGCTAAATAAACTTTTGAGCTCCTTAAAGGACCACTATAGGTACCCAGACCACTTCAGCTTAATGAAGTGGTCTGGGTACCAGGTCCATCTAGGGTTAACCCTGCCTGCTGTAAACATAGCAGTTTCAGAGAAACTGCTATGTTTACATATAGGTTAATCCAGCCTCCAGTGAGAAGATGCCAGCGTCCATAGGAAAGAATTGAGAATGCTTTCCTATGGACTGACTGAAGGCGGAGGAGAGTCTCCAGCGCCGAGGGAGCCCGGCGCTGGAGAAAGGTAAGCCTTTAACCCCTTCCTTTCCCTTCAGCCCGGCTGGAGGGGGCCATGAGGGTATTAATTTTGTATTAATACTATAGTGCCAGGAAAACTACCGTATATACTCGTGTATAAGTCGATCTCATGTATAAGTCGAGTCCAGTTTTGTGACCAACAATTGTGAAATATGCTATGCCTCGTGGATAAGTCGAGGGTAAAACTTGGGGCTGTGAAATTCTGTGATTTTTATAATTATATACACACACACTCATACAAACACACACTCTGCATTATATACACACACACACTCATACAAACACACACTCTGCATTATATACACACACTCTGTGTATATAATGCAGAGTGTGTATATAATGCAGAGTGTGTGTTTGTGTAGTGTGTGTGAACTAGGTGTGGGGAGGGCATTTTTATTATTTTAATTTAAATTTTATTTTAATATTATTTTTTTATTATTTAAATTTTTTTTTGTCCCCCCTCCCTGCTTGTTAACTGGGCAGGGAGGGGGGCTATCTTAATCCCTGGTGGTCCAGTGGCATGGGCTGTGAAGGGGGGGGCGGCAGGAAGCATTTACTTACCTTTCCTGCAGCTCCTGTCAGCTCCCTTCTCCTCCGTTCCGGTCAGCTCCACTGTAAGTCTCGCGATCGTTGCCATGGCTCTGACGGCCGCGGCTCTCTAAGTTGCCATAATACAGACAGTGACTCGAGTATAAGTCGAGTGGGGGTTTTTAAGCACAAAAAATGTGCTGAAAAACTAGACTTATACTCGAGTATATACTGTAATTTGTTTTCCTGGCACTATAGTGGTCCTTTAAGAAATTATTCACTTCTGCTGACATATTGGTACACCCTGACACTAGCAAACCCTTCATACTAGAGGTACACGCATCTGAGACAGGGGTCGTGCCTGTCCTTTCTCAGAGGGAGAGTCAGTTTAGCCCCTTTGGGTCCTTGTGGGTTCTTTTCTAGAAAGTTGGTGCCAGCAGAACGTAACTATGATATTGGTAACAGGAAATTATTAGCCATTATCGTGGCTCTGAAAGAATAGCAACATATTTTAGAGGGTTCCAAGGAACCCCTTCTGATAATAACTGATCACAAAAATGTGGCATACATTGGGGATGCTAAAAGGCTGTCCTCTAGACAAGCTAGATGGTCATTGTTTTTGTCACGCTTTAACTTTCTCATCACATACAGGCCTGGTCCTAAGAACATTAAGACGGATGCCCAATCTGGGCAATTTGACCTAGAGGTGGAACAAGAACAAGAAACCTCTCCTACCATACCACCTGAATGTATCATTGCCTATACAGTCCTTTCCTTGTCTTCTTCTCTTCTTTGTGCTATAATGGCAGCTCAGACTCAGGCACCTAGTGATAAACCTCAAGATAGATTGTTTACTCCGTTACTAAAAAGAGAGGAGGTACTAAGAGTGTTTCACGATAATGTGACAGATGGTCATCCAGGTATTAATAAAACTGTGTCCGCTGTCTCTAGGTCATTTTGGTGGCCATCTCTTAGAAAGAACATCAGGGAATTACATAGTTACTTAGTTACAAAGCTGAAAAGAGACTTGCATCCATCAAGTTCAGCCTTCCTCACATTTGTTTTTTGCTGTTGATCCAAAAGACGGGAAAATGTGAAGAATGTGGAGGCATGTACTATTTGTGCGGTTTCTAAGGTCCCCCATAAACTACCTTGTGCGCTATTACAACCGCTTCCTATACCCAGTATTCCATGGTCTCATTTATCTATGGACTTTATTGTGGAACTACCTATTTCTTTTTTATAATTCTTTATTTTTGTTGTGCATGTTATACATAGCAGTGACATACGCCACAACAGCGTGTCTAAGAATGTACTTAAATGGAACAGTGGCATGAGGAATTGCACATTTTTGTATAATTGTAACAATCATCAGCTTGGCCAAACAGTGAAGTCATTAATATAGAATGAAAAGGTAGCTTATTTTAACAACCAAAACAGAAAATAACCTCGCTAGTGTTTCATGTTAGCTAGTTTTGAGTGACATAGAATAACGTATGAATGGTTGATTCAGGCTAGTTCTAGCTATTATACAAGGGTGGATAACATATGATTAGTTTACTGTCTGCACTAAAGTGTAGTAGTAACAGGCTGAGTGTATGTGCTTATTGTCTACGTGCCATATATAGGCGATATTATGAAACAAGGGAGGCTATCAAGTGCTTCATTAATTAGCCCTGTAGTGTGAAGGCAGGTCTCCCCTTTAAACAATAGGTGTGTGCTACGCTGAAGGTTAAGCTTATCATATTGTTGCAGTTAATCAAGTTCAGATGGGTGGCAGGTGGCAGGTGTTAAGATGCTGTGTTTCGGAATCAGTCCAGGCGACAAGCAATTAACCACATAAGAGAGTGTTGGTTGGTTTGCCTGCAGGGTGCCCAGAGTAGTTCAGCCGATACCTATCGGGTACTGGGTACAGTCCAGGTATAAGTGGTAGTCCTGCATGATAAAGCTCCTAGGTACTGGCAGGTAGGTCGGTTCCCTGATCGCTTTTGCAGGAGTCCCTTTCCACTTTTCCGGCTGTAGTTGTGACCTTTGCTGGGTTGCTCGCTGGGGTCTCGTTGTGCATCTCGTCGCTCCGCGGTATCGGCTGGCTGGGTGTCGAACCGCTCTTCGCCTCCCCAGTTGGTCCCACGGTTTACAGCGTTTTACGGTAGTTGGGTTATGAACCTTCTTGCGGGTATTGCCGTCGGAAGCGTGGGGTGTACTTTGCAGGGTAGGCCTCTGGCTCTGTCTTGTGGCCGGCATATGCTTGTCTCCTCGGCTCGGTCTGTTTTATTGGCAGGCATTCGGTTTTGTGTTGGCGCCCAGTTCTTGCTTTCTTTTCTCTGTGAGAATTGCTTTGAAGGCAGGAGCGTGCGGGTGTCAGTGTCAGCTTTTGCTCATTTGGGACTCGCTTTAGGGCTTGATATGTGTCTAGTTTTTCCCAGAAGGCTTCAAAGATGGCATTCAGCCTTGCCTCTGTGTCCTCCCTGGGAAATGTGTCGGGTCGTCCATTTGCTGTTGCCGCCATTTTGATATTCGCTCGGTCTGCCTGCGCCGTCCCTTGTCTCGGATGGGAGCTCCTGGGACCGGGATAACCCCCGCCGGTCCATAGGGGGGGGAATGAGGGCTTAGCTTTGGAGGGCTGCGGGGGAGCCGCCGCCTCCCCCATGCTGCCCTTGCTTGTAGGCCGCAGGTGTCCCTCCTCTGTGTCTCGCCAGTTGGGTCGTTCATTTGGTATCTGCTGGTGCCTCATGGGGTCACCTCTCCGCATGTGGCACTTTTATGTCAGCTATCCGCCGTTATTGGTCTGATTTACCGTGTTTTCTGGCAAGCAAAGCAGGAGCAACTCTATCCTGCGACTGTTCGCCTCTGCGGTCAGGCCCCGCCCCCCGGAACTACATATTTCTAATGGCTACAACACCATCTTAATGGTTGTTGAACGCTTTTCTAAAATGGCACACTTTGTTCCGCTCAAAAAGATACTTTCTTCCCTAGAGCTGGCTCATAAATTGATTCGCGAAATAGTCAGATTGCATGGTATTCTGCTTAATATTGTCAGATACGGGTTCCCACTTTGTGTCATGATTTTGGAGAGCATTTAATAAACAGTTGGGTATAAAATTATTATTTTCATCATCATACCATCCCCAAACCAATGGCGTGGCTGAGATAGCCAACCAATCATTGGAACAATATTTGAGATGTTTTATTAATGGCACTCAGGAAAACTGGTCTGATTTACTAACATGGGCCGAATTCAACCAATGACTCATCTGGACATAGTCCATTTTTTGGTAACAACGGTTGTCATCCTACTGTCCTCCCTGCAGTGTTCTCTGACACTGCTATTCTTGCTCTGGATGACCATCTCACATGTATACAGTACGTGAGACTTGGACAAAGGTCCACATGGCTTTAGAAACAGCTGCTGCTCATTTCAAAATGCATACTGATGTGAAGCCTGGTGCCAACCCTGGTTACCAGGTGGGTGACAAGGTATGGCTCTCCACACGGAATATTAAACTTATTAAAGGTTTTTAGCATGAATTTTGCACCCAGATTTATTGGGCCCTTTAGAATAATTTGCAGGATTAATCCTGTGTCTTGTTCCCTGGCTCTATCCGCCTCTCCATGTGTACCTAATACGTTTCATGTATGCCTTCTGAAACCCCTTATCTGTAACAGGTTTACCACCCCTTCTGACCCTCCCCCTCCTTTAGTTGTTTCTGGACAGGAGGAGTAGGAAGTCTCCTCTATACTTGACTCCAGGTTTTCTCGAGGGTCTCTACAGTATTTGGTCGATTGGAAGGGTTATGAGCCTGCCAATCGGTCTTGGGTTTCTGCTTCAGACATACATGCGGACCACAAAATCCGTTCTTTCCATGCCAGGTTTCTCCTCAACCCAGTGGGTGGTCTTCAAGTGAAGGGTAGTGTCATGGCTCCTGGTGATTCTGCCAGCGTGGTTGCACATAAAGTAAGCAACCATGCCGACAGAATCAATTCATACTTTCCTTGCTCGCGGCAGACCACTCCGGTTCGGTCCCCAGCGGGTGTGACACTCTTAGGAGCGCCAACCGCTGCGGTCTCCGTTTTTGTAGTAAACTTACCTTCGCCCCCACACCAAAGATGGTGCCAACGTGCATGTGATGTCACGTCATACATGCACGTTTTGGGGTCAGAGGTCGGACACAGCCAATTACAGCCAAAGGGGGGTATTTAAACCCAAATTACCATTCTGTCAGTGCCCTGTCATGGTTTCCCTTTGATGGTTATCCGAGAGTGTGTTCCTGATCGTGTATATTTGATTTTTGACTTTGGCTTTGTTCTGACTTCAGTGATTTCTGGTACCCTTGACTTTTGGCTTTTCCTTATCACTGTTTCTCATTCTGTGTCCCTGACCTCAACAAATATTTTGATTATTCTCTGGTACGTTAAGTCCGGCCATTCTCAGGTCCGCTTAGACGTTATCCTTAGTCCTAGGTGTGATACAATTCTGTGTGCAGGATCAACAGTAATCCTGACATACGCATCTGAAACTGTCTTGTTATTGAGCCGTCTGTAATCCACGCAGAACCTGGTGATCTCGTCGTGTTTGGGGACTAGAACTACTGGCAAAGCCCTCAGTTGGAGCATCTCTTGGATCTCCTGGCTCTAGTATTCGGTACAGGGTCTGTCGCAGATGTTGTTGGTCAGGAGTCTCTACTCTATGGGTAGTTAGTGGAGGTAAACCCTGGTAAATTAGAGAACATGTCCCTCTTTGCAGACAGATTCTGCTGTGCTTGCCTGCGTTCTTCCCCGGTTAGTCGGTCTCCTAACTGGACCTCATCTATGGACCCTGCCTGAACTCCATCTTCTACGAGATCAGGCAGGGGATGATTATCAAAATTTTCCAACGCTGGAGCACAGATAGTGGCTACATCCTCTGTCCTCTCGTGGTAGGGCTTCGGCATGTTAACATGTAACATGCGTCTAACTCCTTCCTCAGAGTAGGAACCGATAACGTAAGTAGTGTCACATTTCTGTTCCACTACCCGATATGGGCCCTGCCAAGCAGCTTGTAGCCTGTTATGTTAGATGGGTTTCAAAACCAAAATCTTCTGACCGACTTGAAAGCTACGGCTCCTGGCTCCTTGATCATACTATGTGCCCTGGCGCTCCTGAGCCTCCCAGAGGTTCTCACACACTAGGTGAGTGAGTTCCTCCAGTTGGTCCCGAAGCTCCAGCACATATGGGACGATGGGGGT